CTACACACTTCAGGCAAACAGGACAAATGTCCAACATATATCCACTGTAATATTCAGGGCGGATATGACCCAAAGCCAGCCGTATCAGCAAATAAAACTTGATTCTTTTACTCAAACAATCCAAATAAAAATGGCTTATATTCAGCAGAATGACAAAAGCAACAGGGCTTATTGTCAGCAAACACTAAATTCGGTTCAGCGCCTGTATACCAAGTCCTAAGTCCCAGCCTCAGAGTAAAGGTGGCCATACAGGTGAAACTCGAATAATTAGAATATCGTGCAAAGTTCATTTATTTCACTAATGCAACTTAAAAGGTGAAACTAATATATGAGAGAGACTCATTACATGCAAAGCAAGATAATTCAAGCCGTGATTTGTCATCATTGTGATGATTATGGCTTACAGCTCATGAAAACCCCAAGAACCCCAAATCCACAACCTCAAAAAAGTAGATTATTACATGCAATCAATAAAACAAGGATTGTACATACAAACAATATCGGACCTCTGAAAAGTACAAGCATGCATATGTACTCAGTACTTGGTTTGGGCCCCTTTTGCAGCAATTACTGCAATTACTTTTGCACGATATTCTAATTATTCGAGTTTCACCTGTACTCGCCTTTCCATCCTCCTCTGCTACTCTGTTCAGAAATGGGAGCTGATGAAGTTTTCTGGCGCTTACAGGTATGGAGGAACATGTGGGCCCATCAGCTATGTCACAGACTCAGCCTATATTCCTGTGTAAAGAGACCTGCAAGGGCAAAGTGACAGTGTCTGTGTGGTGCCCACCCCCCGATATTCACCTCGTCAACAATCACCCAATCCCATCTCAGCCGCCCAAATACCCCGTGTTTCCGAGAGTGTGTCACCTCTTTCTATAATGCAGTGCTTGGGCCTACCACTAGGGCATGAGGTGGGCAACTCCGGGCCTCCAGCTGTGCATTAACTGCGAATCCCAACATGCCTCTGGGAGTCATGTCTGTAACTGTCAGGGTCTTGCAATGCCTCATGGGACTTGTAGTTCCACTACATCTGGAGGGCCAGAGTTGCCCACCCCTGATATAGGGGTATTCTGCTCACGGAGGAAGGATTGGTACGGGGTTTCTCTAGAGTGGCACGAGTATCCGTGGGTCATTTTTTCTCTGAATGGGCAAAGTATAACAATATCTCTCAGATTCTTTTTGAACTAAAGAAAAAAAGGGGGCTTTGCTTTTACTTCCAGCAGCTAAACAGAGGCAGGGAAACAACAGGATGTGGTGTGCTGCTTGGGGAGGACTGAATTAAAGCAGAACTTCGGCCTTCCCCTCAGTCTTGCACAGTTGTACCGGCTCCTCTCCTGGACTGAAATTGCTTTCTCTGATTTCACCGCACACCGCAAGCTTCTCATAATGTGCATTAGAAGCAGCAGCAAGTCAGATAGAGCCCGGCTCATTTCCTGGCTGGAGGATGTCCAGCTTCATCTAGCTCCTTACTCCCCAGCCTGACTGTCCCTGGCCCCGCCCCTTTCATTAATTGGATTTCAGTTTTTTTGGAGGCTCAGCATCACATGTGGGCATTACCTATGGAGGTCTGCATGTAAATACAGCCTGCCTAGGAATACCCTCTCCTCCAGACTGACACCCACCCATCAGTACATTTTGATATTTGCATAACCCCTCCCAAGAGCCGGCCCACTGCTTGCATCAGGACTGAGGGCTCTTGAGAGGAGTATGAGGCAGGGTGCTGTGATGTTTTCAGGAAGCTATGTACAACACTGTGCCAGGTTCTCCCATCAGCCGTGATCTGCCTGCATTGCATACAGAGACTTTGCACCTGACAGGAGCATGTGCATTGCCATATAATGGTTTTGTATATATTTGATGTTACCTATGTAAGTCTTTCATATGTGGAAGGAGGACCATATTGCTGTAAGCGATGGCAGCCAATCAGCTGTTGACTTTTCTCTTTAGAGACGCTGCGGCCTCGCGTTTCTGCTCTTGGTCATGATTGTGTTTGCGCATCGTGGATATTTTACCCCTCCGGAAGGTATTCACACCCCAGTTGGGACACAAAAACAACTCCGACATGAAAGTATTTTACATTAAAAAAATCTTTTTATTTTTTGGCTTCTCGGCCAACAAGTATAATTTTTCTTTCCAGTTTCATGAAGCAAATAAAAATAGACTTTACAGTATCTAAAGCAGTCACATCCCCGGGAATAATCACCTTATGTACAATCTCTTTCTGTGGTCAGCTATACAACTAAGATCAGATTTATCAGACCTGGACCGAGGAAAGCAGGAGCAAAGGTGGAGAGGTCAAGCTGGAATCTGATTGGGGCTCCTTTTTGCCAGTGTTTTCATTGGTCCAGTTTTGATAAACCCGCCCCCTTAGCATCTCTCCGGTCAGGGGCAGGATGGGGCTGCCGTCTCCTCTAGTGGTTGTTCTGTGAATTGCATCCTTTTTTTATTATTGCATATATACATCTGTGGTCCCTCTTAGCTGTGTTAGTTCAGTGTGTAGTTCATGTCTCTGTTTCCTCTATAAAGAGGTGGGATATTGTGTGTCTGTCACTTAGAGATCTCAGAATATCCTGCATCTCCAAGCAATGGCGGTCGTTTGGTTAGTATTGTCATGTGACGCGCTCACTGAGCCGCCAAGCGTCGTTTTCCCTAACTGCTGCCCCCATTGTCCACAGCATCAAGTCAATGACTCCCCTTATGGGGCTTTAACTCTCTGTATACACAGTGCAGGTGGATTCTACAAGGAATATAAGAAGGGAGTAATGGCGCCAGGAGGGGGCGCTGTTGAGGTCATTGGATGCTGAACAGGGTTTTTCTCACCCCCCTCCTCTCATTGCTGGAAGTCGTAAGGTCGGATCTTCATCTCCACCCTCCTCATAGAGTAGGTAGAGCCATGCCAGCCGTACCAGCTGATGCCATCTGAGTGCTTGTTGTGGTCTCCATTACGATAGAATATGCCGTTCAGGTTGGAGTCTGTGCAGCAGTTGTACCAGTACCCTCCTGCAGGGGAAGAGACAACATGGGGTCACATGAGAGGGCAGTGAAAAATTAGAGATGTCCCACACGTAAAGCACACTCCAAAGTGGTGTCTGTGTGTGCAGCTCCAATAATCACAGGCTGGGGTATCCCGTGTAATAGCTGTAATGTATTGTCTATGTGCAGCTCCAATAATCTCAGGTCGGGGTATCCCGTGTAATAGCTGTAATGTATTGTCAGTGTGCAGCTCCAATAATCACAGGCCGGGGTATCCCGTGTAATAGCTGTAATGCATTGTCAGTGTGCAGCTCCAATAATCACAGGCCGGGGTATCCCGTGTAATAGCTGTAATGTATTGTCTATGTGCCGCTCCAAAAGTCACAGGCCGGGGTATCCCGTGTAATAGCTGTAATGTATTGTCTATGTGCCGCTCCAAAAGTCACAGGCCGGGGTATCCCGTGTAATAGCTGTAATGTATTGTCTATGTGCAGCTCCAATAATCACAGGCCGGGGTATCCCGTGTAATAGCTGTAATGTATTGTCAGTGTGCAGCTCCAATATTCATAGGCCGGGGTATCCCGTGTAATAGCTGTAATGTATTGTCGGGGAATAATAAGCTATTGTAACATTTATTTGCTGTTCAATATCTTCCTAATTGTATATCGCGTACAGATTTGCAGATGCTTACACTCATGGTAGCCTGTATATGACGGAACTTATTAGCATCCTTGCTTAATGACTGCTGAATGAACTCAACTACCTCCTGCAGAATGCCTGTTGTTACCGTCAGGTCTGGCTCAATATACTTGCATCGAAGGAGGAAAATTACAGCACGGTCACCATTAAAGCCTTAGTCGGCTTGAAGCAGTGCCTGCTCGTGACACAGATCTGTTCTTGCAATTCACTTTTCTTTATGGTGTATGTGTTTGCATGGTCTGCACACTCCCATGGACATACAATGGCCAAGCATGGTCACTGTGTATTGCAAAACATAGACCAGGGGTGGGCAACCTTGGCACTCCAGCTGTTTTGGAACTACATGTCCAATGAGGCATTGCAAGACTCTGACAGCCACAGACATGAGTCCTAGAGGCAGAGGCATGCTGGGAATTGTTGTTTCCACACAGCTGGCGTGCCGAGGTAGCCTACCCCTGACATAGACAGTTGGGTGAGGATCACTATGTTTTGACAGTGAAACAATGTTGCCTCAATCCAAGGGGCAGAGAGATGGGACTGCTACACTGTGCCAAGCACTAGCGGCCAATAGGGGGAAAAACAGAGCTAAAGCTTTCCCATCACTTTATTACCTAATATACAGAGGGGGGGGGGGGGGGGGGGATTTATCAAACTGGAGCAGACAATCTGGAGCAGATTTGCACTGCAACCAATCAGCTTCTCTGTCTCATTTTCTAATCCCACCTGAGCAAACTGAAGAGAGATGCTGTTTGGTTGCCATGGGCAACTGCTCCAGTTTCTATCTGCTCCAGTTTTGATAAATTGCCCCCAGAATGTCTCTGCTCATGCAGTACAGTTCTACTTTTCAGACAAGTCTCCATCGATATCTGTTAAAAAAATAAGTCAAGGCAACTGGACTTGCTGTATTGCCTGGACTTATTTTTTACAGATATACCGTGACCTGGATGAATGAGAACCTTCACAGACAAGTCTCCATCGAGATTTTCCTTCTGCTTGCCCTGCTCACCTTTGCGCAGTCCAGCACAGTCATCCAGGCATTTGTCATTGTCCTTGTCCTTGGTACTGAAAGCTGTGTTGTTGTGATAGCGGAGGGAGTCCCTGCCGGCGTTCCCGCTGTAGTTGCCCAGGAAGAGGCGGTAACTGTTTTGCTCATCGCTGACGTAAAACTGGGCGTATTCTGCGTACCTGACGCGGCCCTCCCAGTCCTGAAATCACAGAAAGCAAAAAGCAAACTTAGAAATAAAGTCACATTTTTAACGCTGACCTCTGCTATGTTAACTGGCGGTGATTTCAGCAAATAATGTGGAATTGTTCAAGAAACTTTTGGACGATTTCTTAAGGGACCGTAATATACAGGGGTACGGGTACTCCTAGAATGAGATCCTAATAGGTTGGACTTGATGGACTAATGTCTTTATTCAACCTCAAATACTATGTAACTATGTAACCAAATGCCCTCACAAGCCCAGATGTTACCTTTTAAAAGTAGTAGTGACATAAATCTCTGTGCTACATATAGACTGTGCAGAGCTGTGGGAGGGGCTCAATAGGCCCCACCCACTACAGGCTGCCGGCAGAAAACTACAGGAGGGGGCAGAGACGAGACCAGTCACCCTGCACAAGGAGAGAGAGCAGCAGTAAGCGGTCTGTTACAGAAGGGGGCGAAGACGAGACCAGTCACCCTGCACAAGGAGAGAGCGCAGCAGTGAGCGGTCTGTTACAGAAGGTGGCGGAGACAAGACCAGTCACCCTGCACAGGGAAAGAGAGATCAGCAGTGACCGGTCTTTATAACGGGAAGCTCCAAGCTTCTCGGTAGAATACTGCACAGATCTGGAAGAAATACACAAAGCTCACTAAGATTCAGGAAGAATACACAGGACTCTTGTAGGAGGACAATATTTGTTTATCCGGGAACTCGGCATTAAAGTTTTAAAAGCACCGGTTGTAGCCTTCAGTCTCCGCCCCTTTACACGTTTTTGAACATCATAACCTTGATTAGAATATCTGCTTAGCACCACTGATGTAGATTTTAGTAGAATTCTGTCTGATTTAGACTAAAGTCTATTGAACTACAACGGTTCTTATATATTACCTTTTATAGTGACTGCGTAATACTACATTTCATCAACAGATGGCGCTGCAGGCAAGACCAGAAATTGCAACTCCCAAATTTTAGTGAAAGAGCGGATTTTCTGTGACTCTAAGGCCCCATTCACACTGAGCGACATGAAAATCGTGCGATTTTCCGCGCGATTTTATATGAGCGATATTGAGCGACTTGTCCCTATTGGGCTGTATGCAATCAGGAGCAAAATCGCTCGAAATCGCTCAAAGAAAGGGTCATGTAGGAGCTACAAGCGATATTGAGCGACGAGATGTGAACAGCTCCATTGAAATGGATTGGAGAAGCTACATAGAGGGATATCGCGTGGAAATATGATTGATATCGCTGCAAAAATCGCTCGATAAATCGCTCAGTGTGAATGGGGCCTAACACAGACCTAAAAATGGCTGCTGGAGAGCCGGAGGTGCCTTACCCCTGCAGCATGTCATTCCTATTCCTTAGTGAATTGATTGCAATGTGGAGGTGTCACACCAGCATGGATGGACCGCTTATAGGAGATATATTGCTGTAGGTGTAACCTGAAAGTGAGGCAACCCAACTAGCAGTAATGGAGTTTGGGCAAAAGTTGCTTGTCTTTTTAAAAAAAGTAGGGTTCTCCTTAAGATGTGTTAATGAGGTGCGTACTTTACCTCCAACTCTACTCTCAGGACTGTTGGCCTTCTGGTCAGGCGATAGATGTGCTCGTTGCCTATCCAAAAATCTCCCCGAATGTTGCCAAAGCCTTCCCGGTACTGCTTCCAGTCTCTGTTGAAGGAGGTCAGACCGATTTTCCTCCTCTGTATGAGGGTCCATCCACCTCCTTGGGTCTCCATATCACAGTAGACCTAATAATGAGATAATAGGATTTAGTACGGTCAAATAATTGATTGGCCCCATCGGCACCACGAGCGGGCAGCAGACGGTAGAATCTTGCGGCAACCCATCAAAAATGGATACGAGCTGAATTCTTATTGGCACGGCTCCTCGCACGCTTCAACTTTTCATCTCGGGTATTAAAACAAGCTCGCCTATGTTACAGGTAGAAAAAGCTATTTGTGGTATTACCTCCAGCTCCGGGCTCCCCAAAAATTCGTCCGCAGGCATTTTGTAGACACCCGAGATCCTATAATTCTTCTGGTAGAGGGACGAGCAGTCGTAAAGGTCACGGCATCTTCTCGAATTCCTCCCGACCCGCAGTAAATCATCAGCACATTTCAGACATGTTCTTAGAAAGCAGTAAAATAAAGCATTGGAGGCACGTGTGAGGACCACCTGAAGCCTGCCCCGAGCAATCCATTCCTTCAATGCTGATTTACACCCTCTCACGCGTCTTCCCCGCCCTTTGGACACCTGTGAAATTTCTCATTACCGAGCGGCTTCATCTCTCATCAGTGCAAGGGAAGGAAAGATCAAGTTGGTGTCTCTTCCCCCGAGAAAAGTGTTTCCATTCCACCCACACGGCTACAAGAAATCCCCAGCTGCTGAATGTCAGTCCCGATACTCTTTTTGCAGATTTAGTTTTTCATACCCCCCGGGGGTGCCTGCGATTTATTTTACAGTCTTTTGACACTAATCCCAGCTAACTATAGGATGGGGGGGGGCTGTCTACGCTTTTGGTGTGAAAGGAAAGTCCTGGAAGGATTATTAGCATGTTTCTGCTAGAAGATCATTTCGGGAGATTTAGGATGCTGGGTTGTGTTTGTGCATCTGCTTGCTAAGCAACTGTCACAGCACCATTCAGCTGCTGACTTCCAGGATCACGTCAATGGGTTAGAAGTGGAGGCACCTAGTGATCTTCCACCAACTGGAGAACCTGGATGTCTATGGCATACCTCAGAGCTCAAGACACCCGTATGTATCTGGCTTGCTTGGCAGTAAGGTCACTTGGTGTCTGCCATCTGCTGACTCTAGCCGAACTACGTGGACACTGACAACCCCGTAACTCTTACCTGCTGTGGTCTGGGTTTGGGTCTGGGCGGCCGCCTGCAGCTGCATGATCCCGATCTGGTTGTTCATCTCGGAGTACTTGCCCTCCGCGTCCGTCAGCCGCGTCTCCATCTGCTTATAGCTGCCCTCCAGCTTCATCACCTGCATGACCACGTTCACCCAGTCGGTCTCCTGCTTCTTGGTCAGCTCCTCCAGCATGCTGCTTAGGTTGGCAATCTGGACTTTCAGGTCTCGGACCTCCTCGCAGCAGGGAGGCAACTTCGTCAAGCCGTTGGCGTTGAGGGGCTTTTTCTTGGGAGCTTTCTGCAGGAGGACCGGGGAGGCTCCTAGAGCGATGAGGAAGATGCTGATACAGGCGAAGGAGTGGATCTTCATTGTGAGAAGCTCAGGCTGGTCTTTTTCGCTTGAAGTCTTTCTGGAGGAAGGGTCCTCTTAGCTGTCTGTGTTTTTGTGCTCTTCTGAATACATCCTGCAGCATCTTAAATATCCCACATCTTGGAGCCTTCCTCGCTCACCCTCCCACCTAACTCCTCTCCTCCTCCTAGCCAGGTGCCAGCTTGCTAATTCGATTGCTCGACTCGTACCAAAAACGAAGGGAGGGGCTTGGCCAGGCCATGCTTCTTTACTCCCAAAAGTGTAATATTTCCACAGCAATACAGTCCGTTTTTAACCCTTGCCGGACAGGCAGGGGCACACAGGAATGCCGACCAGTCAGGGTCGGGGAACGTTCAGGGCACTTAATGGAAAGAATCAGTCAAGGTGACCTCATCTTGCAGCATCTAGCATGAGTTTCTTTTTAAAGCCCCCTTTACACATTCGGCATCTGGAAAGGCTTTGATGTTTGTCGTCTTAGCTCTTCAGACAGAAGCCGACGAAGCACGATGGGGACCTGTTTTTCTTTAGCACCAGTGTGTAAAAATGTTTGCATTACACGAGACACGAATCCCCCGCCTGAGTACAAGCACGTAGGTGTCTGAATACCTCAGGCTGTTACACATCCCGGGACAATAAACTTACTGGATCTCATTCATGTAACCCAGCGGCCGTCTGTGTCCACATGGAAATCCAACCCCCCCCCCCTTCCAAAAGGGACAACTTTTAGTTCATTCCAGGTTGTTGTTTTTTTTTTTTGGTTGAATAAAAATCATTCCTTCTGTCTGGGGAAAAAATATATATCTGCCTGCAAACCACACATTTGTGTATCTTATACTGATACATAACCATGGTGAAAGGTTTAAACTAGGGCTGCACGTACAAGGAAGAATCTGTCTGCTTAAATTAATTTGGATTTTTTACCAGTTTTTACCAATGTTTCTAGCGGGTAATTACTTTGGGAAAGTGAACTTACGCTTTAATACACATTGTGTGTTTGAGAGAGCACGCATGCCCTGCTACCACAGTTAGGCACACAGTGAAATGGGGGCAGCACTTGGCACACACTCACAATGCCCTATGTGTGCGTTTATTTGCATGCAGATGGCGGGGTTGCTTTTATTTTTTATTTTATTTTTTACTGATTTTTTCTTTTTTTACATTGATATTTAATTTTTTTCTATCATTTTTATTTTTAATCACTTTTTACATTTTCTATTCAATAATTTTTTTTACTTTATTGCTATCACACAGGGGCTAACAAGCGCCTACGTGATAGCGTTCAAAGACTCTCTTACACCTGGTTCACACCTGGGCGTTTTCCAGCGCTGATCGAAGCGCTGTAAAACGCTCAGTCAAGTCCCATTATGTTCTATGGGCATGGATCCCACCTGGGCGTATTTCAGCGCGTAAATGTGTGTTTCGTGGACCGCAAACCGCGGTAAAAACGTGCGGCCCGAAACACGTGCCTTAATGGAACCTGTCACCTCCAGTACAGAAGATTAAGTACAGCTCCAAATGTGACAGCTGACACAGGAAGGCGAGTACTGTGAGCTGCTCCTGTGTTCTGTGATCACAGAGCAGATCGGAGAACAGATGTTCTCCGTTCTGCTCCCTGCTCTCCATCCTGAAATCATTGCCGTGGTCCCAGGTCCCCCAGAAGAACAGGGGATCCCAAAAACCATGGGGGCGTGGGGGGGGGAAGGGACCTTGCAGGGGGAAGATGGACAATGGAGCGGTTAGCGGCGGTGGAAGAGACGAAGCGGATGCTATACATTTGATTTGGGAGGCTGCACAGCCGCCCATATCGCTTGCACAAAATCGAGTGCAGGCTTCTTACGCTCTACATTTAGCCATGCTTGCCCTGAATCAAACACCCGCCTGGGACCCCCCGGAACTGCAAATAAAACAACCGCCTGGCACCTCCCAGAACTGCAAATAAAACA